GGATTGGAGAGGGCTCCCCTGAGGTCTCCCAGATTGGAAAGAGTACAGGTCGGGCCGAGGGACCCACCCCCTTTGCACGAATCTTCGTGTACCAGGCTCCTAGTATTAATATAACTAAAAGCGATTTTAAGAAAATCATTAAAAAAATTTTTTTTAATTTATTAACTTACATAAAAAACACTCTGTAATAACAATTCTAAGTAACAACACAACTACAAAAGAGTTGTGAAGATATTGATGATTACAGAGAAAATTAATAACATCATATTAAGAATTTTTACATAAAATTTTATATAAATACATCAGAAAGAAATAAAACTGGTAAGAATATAAAATATTTGGCCAAAACCGCTTTGGCTCAGTGGATAGAGCGTCGGTCTGTGGACTGAAAGGTCCCAGGTTTGATTCTGGTCAAGGGCATGTATCTTGGTTGCGGGCACATCCCCAGTAGGGGGTGTGCAGGAGGCAGCTGGTCGATGTTTCTCTCTCATTGATGTTTCTAGCTCTCTATCCCTCTCCTTTCCTCTCTGTAAAAAAATCACAACAAAATATATTTTTAAAAGAATATAAAATATTTGAACCCGTTAACAATTTTAATCTTATGAACCTATATAAAATCCTTGACCCAAAATTAGAAAAAAAAAAATTTTTTCTTTTCAATAAACTTGTAATACTGGAGAACCAAGATGTTGGCATAAATACCTGAAATTGCTGCCTTGCACAACCACTTCAAAACTACAACTAAAAGACAAAACTGACATCATCCAGAACCACGAAAGGTAGGCTGAGTGGAAATTCTACAACTAGAAGGAAAGAGAAAGCACACTGAGACTCAGAGGAGCTGCAGAGTGCAGACGTACGGAGGTGCACACACAGAAAGGGCTGGAAACTGAGGACACAGCTGGCTTTTTCAATCGGGAAGGGGACACAAGCTCCCGTCTGCTCTGAACTCCAGTTCCGGGCAAGGCTCTGGGGACCTAGATTCATACTGGGAGAAACCGGACTGTCTGGCATCAGGTGAAACTCGAGGGTGGCTTTCTCTCAGGTGCTTGCAGCAATTACCAAGGGACACTGAAACCTGGGGGCCTCTTAGGGCAGGGCTGAGGATCAGCCATAGCTGTTTGCTCCACCCTGTTAATTCCCTGAGACCCTGCCCCACCCCAGCTGAGCACAGAGGCTTTTGTATATGAATGGCCTGGCCCTTTGCAATCTATAATTACCTAATAAACTGCAGGTGGGTCAGAGAGACCCAGAACATCCAAAAGAGAGCCCAAGGCCCATAGCAGCTTTCATTGCTTCATAGCTGGGCCTCAACTGGGCACCTCCAAAACCCAAACAAAGAAGAGGAATCTGCAGATCTCTCCATAGCTCCTGCTGGGTGGCCTCAGGCAGAGGCTAAATTAGCACCTCCTTGGAGATCCAAGAGCCAGTGTACCCAGAGATCAGAGTGTGGGACCATTCAGATTACAACTCCTCAGATCCATAAGGGACTCACTCAGAGGGCAGACTCAGTGAGCACCAAAGCCCCACTGAAGCAAGTCTTGTCTTATAAGGGTGTCTCCAGCACAAAAATTCTCCCATCGTAGACACAGTTGATCCTCATAGCCAATTGGCCTTGAGGCCAATTCCTCCCCATGATACTAACAACAATCAAGGCTTAACTACAACAAGACTGTGCACACAGCCCACAAAGGAGTGCACCAAGAGTGTCCACCTCAGGTGACTGGGGAGGCTGGGCCCTATAGGACACCTAGCAGACAAGGTCACTCTATCAACCCAGGGAAGCAGCCAAAATGTGGAGACAAAGAAACAGGTCACAAATGAAAGAAATGTAGGAAAGCAAACTATTGGATATAGAGTTCAAAACCATAGTTATAAGATTTTTCAAGATTTTTCTAGAAATCACTGATAAATTTAGTGAGACCCTCGAGATATGAAAAAAGACCAACTAGAAATTAAGCATACACTGACTGAAATAAAGAATAATATACAGAGATCCAACAGAAGACTAGAGGATCACAAAAATCAAGTCAAAGATTTGAAATACGAAGAAGCCAAAAACATCCAATTGGTAAAGAAAAAAGAAAAAAGAATCCAACAATATGAAGATAGTGTAAGGAGCTCTGGGACAACTTCAAGCGTAATAATATCTGAATTATTGGGGTGCTAGGAGAGAGAGTAAGTCACTGAAAACCTATTTGAAGAAATAATGACAGAAAACTTCCCCCACCTGCTGAAAGAAATAGACTTACAAGTTCAGAAAGCACAGAGAACCCCAAACAAAAGGAATCCAAAGAGGACCACACCAAGACACATCATAATTAAAATGCCAAGGGCAAAAGACAAAGAGATAATCTTTTTTTTTTTTTTAAATATATTTTATTGATTTTTTTTACAGAGAGGAAGAGAGAGGGATAGACAGTTAGAAACATCAATGGGAGAGAAACATTGATCAGCTGCCTCTTGCACACCCCCTACTGGGGATGTGCCCGCAACCAAGGTACATGCCCTTGACAGGAATCGAACCTGGGACCTTTCAGTCTGCAGGCCGATGCTCTATCCACTGAGCCAAACCGGTTATGGTGAAGAATTAATGATTTAACTTGGACAATCTATGTCATTCGTCAGATTAGTATAATAGGTTGAAGAAAAAATATCCTTACATCATCTCAGTGGATGCAGAAAAATCATTTGATTATAACAATTAACAACCCTAGCAACAAACTCACAGTAATCAGAAATAGAAATTTCCTTAACCCAATAAAAAGCTTACAGCAAACATCACAATGAATTTGAAACTACAGGAAAAACACCGTTAAAGTCAGGGACAAGGCAAAGAAGCTCCCTGTCACCACACCTATTTAATTCTGTGCTGAAGGTCACTGAGTGCATGGTAAGGGAAGAAAACAGCATACATAAAGATTGGAAAGAACGAAACCCAAAGCTCACCATAATTTGTGGATTAGGTAATGTCTACGTAGAAAATCTAGAAAAAAATCTACAAATTATTTTGAACTAATAAAAATATCTAGCAAGATTGATAGCTTCAAGATACACCTACAAAAATCAATTGTGGTCCTACAGAACAGCAACAAGCTATCCAACAACAAATTTTGAAGGTTATTTATATTAATGCCCCTCCCCTCAAAAAATCCACAAGATGCCTTAAGAACAAACCTAACATTACTTAAAGGTAATGGATTCATAGTGGATGTTATTTTAAAACTTAATTAACAGACATAAAAGAAAACCTAAAGCAATGGAGATGCAATATTCATGGATAGTAAAATTCCATGTTATAGACATAAATTTCCAGAAAAATCTCTGGATATTTAAATATCTAAATTCAATGCAAGTCTACAAGCTTGTGTTTGTGAAAGGGTATTTGTATGTATGGATACTATGGATATGAACCAATAATATAATCTGACAATCATATGGAAAAGCAAATGGTGCACCAAGAGGCTGCAGGCTCATCTTGATCTGAGCACATACCTAGGTTTCAGGTTCAATGCCAGGGTGGGACGCATATGGGAGGCAACTAACGGATGTCCCTCTCTACTTCCCTCCCTTCCTACCTCTCCATTCCTCTCTCTCTAAAATCAATAAACATATCCTTGGGTGAGGATTTTTTTTTTGGGTTACCTCCTTAGGATAAATTTTTAGAAGTCAAATGACTAGTCCAGAATAATATGACATTTTCATGGTCTTTAAAGTGTATTTTACTAAACTGCTCTCTAAAAACATTTCTGTCAATTAAAAGGATATATATTTGGACTTCTGCTGTATATCCAGAAACTGAAGTAAAAACAAAAACCAAATCAAACAAGAGAATAAACTTGGAGCATATAAATTTTAAATGAGGAAAGAAAACAACGGAGGCCCGAGTTAGCAGAACGAAGGCAAACGGTAACACGAAACTAAATCAACATCGAGGACTTCCTGGTAAAAGCTTTCATTTCTGAACATTGTCCCTCAGAAAAATCAACTAGAAAAATAAAGATTAAAAAAATATAATGAAAGCAAAGAAGCTGCATTTCCTTTCTCCATGTAGGACTTATTTTCTTTGCCTATCTGGAAATGTAAAAATATCTCAAGTACAATAATAACCGGTCAGCTAGAGAAGGAAAAACAGGGTCTCATAGAGGCATACTGGAACCATCTTCAGATCATTAATATAAACAGTTTAAATGGCATATGATTTTATAGACAAGCCCTACTTGAAAAATGAATACGTATACCTAAATACCTTTGGGGAAGAAGGTGAAGCATAGAAGGATGGATGGATGGGTGGGTGGGTGGATGGATAGATAAGTGATAATATAAATAGACTAGAGGCCCCGGTGCATGAAATTCGTGCACTCTGGTGAGGAGGGGCCCTCAGCCCAGCCTGCGCCCTCTCGCAGTTTCAGAGGCCGGTGATCCATCAGGCTCCCCCCACTCACCTCAGTGCCGCTGGCCAGTAACCTGGGCCTCCCTCTTTGGGGCAATCGATCGTGGAGCCCCCCAATCAATCACCCTGCACAGAGTGGCCTGGGCTTCCCTCTTTGGGGCTATCATGGAGTCTCCCGCCCCACCCTCCCACACACATACACATAATTGATCACCTCGCTGGCCAGTGGCTTGCACTTCCCTCTGCAGGGCAATTAATTGATCATGGAACCAGCCTATCGATCCCCCTTCAGAGGGTGGCCTGGGCCTCCTTCTGTGGGGCCATCGTGAAGCCCCCACGATTGATTGCCCTGCCCACTGGTGACCTGGGCCTCCCTCTGCGGAGCAATTGTGGGGGCCCCGACCAATCGCATTGCACCCGCCTTGGCTGGTCTGGCGCCAGTGCGTGTCATAGCGTGGTCGTCTGGACAGCTGTTCTACCGTTAGGCTGTTCAGTTGATTTGCATACTGTGCTTGTATTGCTATAAATGGTTTCTAAGCAGATAAAAAAGACATGTAGCAAGGGAAATGTCTGTGGGTAAAATAATTTAAAGATTATCTTTCCTTACCGTTCCATCTTCCATCAGTTTCAGACAAGAGCCAAAATCTGCTAACCGAATATGTCCATTCATATCCATCAATATATTATCAGGTTTGATGTCTCTGAAAAAATACATCCCATTTTTACTTTGGAAGAATAAACATAATTAGATACTTGGTAAGATCACTTTTTGTCTAAAAATCCTAACTTCTTTTATAATTAGTACTCTAAGAACATCTACTTGAGTACTTTATGGGTTCAAATCCTGGCTCTGGTTCATATTAAAATTTTCTTAAACACAGGTCATTTCAGTATTCTCCTGGAGATAAAAAGTACTGTGATAATTTTCATTCAGATTAAATAAATGATCTTACCACCCACCTTTAAATTTGCACATATTCCAACACGCCTGTAGTAGTCCTACTTTCTGATAAACAGGGGTGGGAAACCTTTTTCCTGCCAAGGGCCACTTGGATATTGATAACATCATTCAGGAGCCATACAAAACTATCAACTTAAAAATTAGCCTCCTAATTTGGTCAAACATTTAATTAATTCACCCTTAATGCTTGGCAGGCCAAGACCAAATGATGTTCCCCACCCCTGGCATAAAGAGAAGAGCCATAATCACTTAATACCCACCAGCCATACTAATTTCTGACCCATAAAATTAAACAGGGAAAAATGTACTTCCTAGACCTTGAATGTAAATGTAGATAATTCTCAATTACTGTATGTCATGACAAAACAAAGAAATTGCTTCATAGAGAGGACTTTAGAAAACAACAGAGTCAATTGCTTAATAATAATACTACCTAATAAAAGAGTAATATGCAAATTAACCATCACTCCTTTCAAGCCACACTCACAAGCCACACCTACCAGCTGATCAGAGCGAGTATGCAAATAAACACCAACCAAGATGGCTGCAGCCACAGAGAGCAGTGGAGAGGCTTGGGTTTCCACAGCAATAGAGGAAGCCCAGCTTGCCACACACCCTGGCTGGCCTAGGCCTCCACTCCAGGATACAAAGTTTCAATGATAGAAGATACATAAAACCAAACAGAAATGGGGGCAGCCACAGACAGAGCAGGAGGCTTGCTCCGCTCCAGTATACAAAGTTTCAATTGTAGAAGGTAAATAAGTTCTAGATACCAGGGCCTCTGCTTGGGTTGCCAAGGGGCGTGGCCAGCCTGCAAACCACCACAGGCCCTCACCCAGGCCGCCCCACGCCCCAAGGGAACACCCACCCTGATCCAGGACACCCTTCAGGGCAAACCAGCTGGCCCCCCATCCATGCACCAGGCCTCTATCCTATGTAATAAAAGAGTAAAATACAGATTGACTATCACTCCAACACACAATAGCTGCCCCCATGTGGTAAAAAATCCTGCCCCTATGTGGACACAAGATGGCCACCACAAGATGGCCAGCAGGGGAGGGCAGTTGGGAGGAACCAGGCCTGCAAGGGAGGGCAGTTGAGAGGGACCAGGTCTGCAAGGGAGGACAGTTAGGGGTGACTAGGCTGGCAGAGGAGGAAAGTTGGGGGCAAACAGGCTGGCAGGGGAGCAGTTAGACATCAATGAGGCTGGCATGGGAGTGGTTAGGGGGTGATCAGGCTGGCAGGCATAAGTGGTTAGGGGCAATCAGAAAGGCATACAGGTGAGCAGTTGGGAGCCAGCAGTCCTGGATTGTGAGAGGAATGTCCGACTGCCCATTTAGACCTGATCCCACCCACCAGGATCAGGTCTAACCAGGCAGTTTAACATCCCTCAAGGGGTCCCAGATTAAAGAGGGTGCAGGCTGGGCTGAGGGACACCCCTCCACCCCATGCACAAATTTCGTGCACCAGGCCTCTAGTGTATATTATATAAAGGCACCTATTATTATTAAGTAACTGGCTTGTAAGATATCCACATCTAATAATAAAATCAAATCAGTTTTTATATGTTTCTCCATTTGAACAATAAAACATGTTGCAAACATAGAAAAATCATTCATAAAATAATTTTGTAAAGACGACCCAGCAATGCAGAGTTTCTAAACATACTCTTAAAGATTATAATTGTGAAGAACTATAAGATTAGACCTTCACAATTCACTCTACCTTTAGAGGAAGGAAAAGGATCTTCTGTAAGCATTACATACACAAAAAATTATCTTGCCATGTGGTTAATGGGGGTATGATAATGTTATTGTAATTTAACCTAAATGACGCCAATTGAGGCCTCTAAACCTCAATTTTCTCACCTGTCAGAGGGGATAATATTAGTAATACCTTAACTACTGAAGTGATTCCTTTGAGTGTGTCATACATCACAGGTTGGCAAATTATGACCCACAGGTCTAATCCAGACCATTGTCCATGCATTCATGTTATTGGAGGATTAGTATATACCAATGCAACCATAGGACTCCATATTTTTCTGAATGTCTTTAAACTTTATAACTAATACAAACCTGTGTGTAGTGTTTTGCAACTTGGTTTTATTCTAATATGTTTAAAATTTTTTTCATGTTGACAAATTTTGCTCTAGTTCATTCATTTTCATTTCTATATGGAATACTTTCATATACCAGATGTATTTCTCAATTCCCCCTGCTTATAAAATTTAGATTTGTTTCCAACAATTTGATTGTTTTAGACTATTATGTTGCTCTTACACAAAATGCTGAGGTGATTTTGTATAAATGTTTCCTAGTGCTCATGTGTGAGCATTTCTTTAGGTGGTGCATGCAGATGTGAAACTGCTGAGAGGAAAGACATTGCTCGACTTGTAAGGGGCGGCACACACACAGCGAGTTAAGGAAACATCCATCAGTTCCTATTTCACTGAAAAAGTATTTACTAAATTCAGCAACTCTTCTAACAAAAAATATAATCAATTCTAAAATGCAAATATATGTCTAAATTTTGTACCGAGAGATATCAGCTTTAGATATCAGATATTAGAGATATGAGGTTAAACAACAGGAAAAATTAGGTTAAAGCAGTTCCATGTGCTGGCCACTGGAAAGCAAACATGAGAGGTATGGAGGGGAACTGTTTTTCAATATAATCTTTTCGACACTAGCTGAGTTTTATTTTAATTACATGCAGTATTGTTTGATGACAGTTAATAAAAAAAATAAAAATACATGTAAGTATTGTATATGAGTCACTTAATCCAAGAATATGAAAATATTCTGACTAAGCCACTATAATCATCTGCAGTCAGCAGTGTTTTCCAGTCAAGACAGTTAATTAATGGATATCAAGATCGTAGATGAACACAATAATTTTATAATGACAACCCTAATTGGTCCCTGTCCTGCAGGAAATAAAATTATACCTTTCATATCGAATTATCTTGCCGTCTGACGCACTCCCCAGCCCCAGTCTATGCCGTGGCTGAAAAACAAGTCCGTCTGTCCCTAAAGACCCACAGGGGGAACGCCCTCCTGCTCATCTGGTCAGTAAGGCTCAGGAGAGTGTGTGTTAGCCCTCCAGCCATCAGCTGGGTTTGGAAATATTTATGTTCCATTTTTATTTTGGGAACAAAGTCTAATTCCGATATGAAGTATAACTTAAGAGTACTCACGGGAGCAGGAAATGATTTCCATCTAGCAGATGCTAAATATGACCTAAATTATTGGGCACGAGGAAGGCCTAAAACTTATGTTAAGTCCATGTGCTTGAGCACCTCAAACAAAGAAGACACATCCCTTCCTTCTTTTCCAACCAGATTGCAGCTTGACCTTTTTAAAAAAATATATATTTTATTGATTTTTCAGAGGGGAGGAGAGAGGGATAGAGAGCTAGAAACGTCAATGAGAGAGAAACACCAACCAGCTGCCTCTTGCACACCCCCTCCTGGGGATGTACCCGCAACCAATGTACATGCCCTTGACCGGAAACGAACCTGGGACCTTTCAGTCCGCAGACCAACGCTCTACCACTGAGCCAAACCGGCTTCGGCTGCAGCTTGACCTTTGTGACTTCCTTTTCCTTCCAGGTTATTGTTTCCATCTAATATATTTCACAGTGGCCACAGGAAAAGGGCCCGGGAGAAAGGCCACGGGTAGGGCTTGACCTGGGCCAACCTATGCAGAGATCGCTTTGGTTCTCTGCATGCCAGGCTTCTGAAAAAGTGGGCAAAGGGAAACAGCCCACAGATTCTAGTCCCCACAGATGTCAGGCAGATGTGGGTACAGCTACTGAGTAGAGAATGCTCTTCATGATCTCATAAGATTGTGCTCACTGGCATACAGGATGGAAAGAGATCCCAAATATAAACTCGGTAGAAAGATGGTCACACTTACATATTAACCACACACTTGCTCTTAGAACCGAGACAGTATTTTGTTAAGAAACTCAAGCAGTCCTGGCTGGTGCGTTCAGTGGTTAAGAGTACCCGCCCTTCTCCCCACCCAAGATTCTCTGGTTCGATTCCTAGTCAAGGAATTGGATTGCAGGCTCCTGGGTAGCAGGTTCTATCCTCAGCCCTAGTCAGGGTACCTGCAGGAGGCAACCAATCAGTGTGTCTCTCTCACATCAATGTTTCTCTCTCTCTCCCTCACTTCCCCTCTCTCTGAAAAATCAATGGAAAAAATAGCCTTGGATGAGAATTAACCAAAACCAAAACCAAAAAACTGTCAAGCAGCCTTGGCAAGGCCCATGTGGAAGGAACAAAGGCCCAGGCTAGCTCCCTGGCGGAAGGGGAGCTGCTGAGCCACACCACCTGTGAGTGAGCCATCTTGGGAGCTGAGCTCCTGATCTCAGATGAGTCACTGCAACTCGTGCTGCAGAGCAGAGAGCAGTCCCTGCCTGGTCCTGTGCGAACCGCAGACGCGTGAGCAGGGAGTGCCGTCTTCTTGAGCACCACACTCAGGGTCCGCGCTGGACACGGAGTGCTGCTTCTCCTTCGATGAGGGCTTGGTCCTCGGCGTCAGCAGACGCTCCCAGAGGCCTCTCCACAGGAGCCTGTCTCCTGAGACGGCCACGGCCACAGCCACTCGTGACTGACACAGAAATGTACGATGCAGCCATCTGGCTAAAGGAGCACCATGCTGATGGGCCACAGACTCTCCAGAATGCCTAGTGGGCTGGGTGAGGTTGGCCTGCAATGCAGTCTGGCTTGTCCCTCTTTCTTTTTTATATATATATATTTTTTTAAAAAAAATAATTTTATTGATTTTTTTACAGGGAGGGAGGGAGAGCAGTAGAAAGTTAGAAACATTGATGAGAGAGAAACATTGACCAGCTGCCTTCTGCACACCCCCCTCTCCCCAGTGGGCATGTGCCCGCAACCATGGTACATGCCCTTAACTGGAATCGAACCTAGGACCCTTGAGTCCGCAGGCCGACGCTCTATCCACTGAGCCAAACCGGTCAGGGATGGCTTGTCTCTCTTTCGAATCCTGCTTCTGCCAACACCCTTCCACAGGTGTTAATGCACCTTGCATTACACATTCTTTCTCTTCCAGCTTCTAAAAAACACATTGTACAGCCATGGATAAACAGAACAACAGGCCAGCAAAATCACTTCTGGGATTCAGAACCACTCACATCTGTGACAGTTTGCCAGTAAAGTGGCAGCCAGCCAACCAGATACCAAGTGTCATCAATGAAAGGAGTGGAAAGCCCCAAGCTTGTCTGGCTGTGGGCAGAGTGCGGATGGAAGGGTCTCAGGTTCGCTTCCGGGGAAGGCATTTATCTCCGCTGCAGGGTCATCCCCAGGGTGCCGTGGGAGGCAACCAACTAATGTGTCTCTCACTTCAATGTGTTTAAAAAATGTATACTTATTCACCTGATTTTTCTTTGGTAAATCCAATTTCATATTCAAAGTTAATATAACTCTTGAAAACAAACAGTTCAAGCTGCCTCCTCCACATGCAGGCATATTCACACTGAATATGTCCATCATATAAATGCTAAACGAAATGTAGATTAGCCAGACAAATATGATTTTTTTTTTTATTTAAGAAAGCCCTCACTTGCTCTAGCCGGTGTGGCTCAGTGGATAGAGCGTCAGCTTGCAGACCGAAGGGTCCCAGGTTCAATTCCAGTCAAGGGCATGTACCTCGGTGGCAGGCTCCTCACTGGCCCAAGCTCTGGTCAGGGCATTCAGCAGGCAACCAATTGATGTTTTTCTCTCACATCGATGTTTCTCTGTCTCCCCCTCTCCCTAAAAATCAATGGGAAAATGTCCTCGGGGGAGGATGAACAACAACAGAAAGCCTCAGTGGAGGCCAATGGGTGTCCTGTATATTAAAAAACTGATCTCAACACAGAGCGGCCTGGCCTTTGCCTCAGACAACAGGAGGTGTCCCCGAGGCTCCTGGGATATCACGCCACCAGAGGTATCTTTGTTTGGCTGGGTCTTGGCCACCAAGCAGCCTGACATTGTGATTTATGAGTGATGTAATTAACATGGGACATGTGGTATGTTTTATTTCTGAAATGAGAGGTACCATCCCCACCTCTGGGGAGGGCTGGAGACTAATGGTCAGTCATGCAGGCAGCATGCTGAGACTCCCCAGAACTCTGAAAACAAAGCCCAAGTGTGCTTCCAGTTGGCAGCACTCCACGCCACCGTCACACATGATGCGCCTGGTGCTTCTCCCGTGCGTTTGGTGCTTCTCCCGGACTCCGCCCTGCGTGCTGCTCCTCCTGCCTGGTTCCAGCTGTACCCTTCCCAGCTTTCAGTGCGTTCTCTGAGACCCTGCAAGTTATGGAAACCGAGGTGGTTTTGGGAACCACCCACATCTGCAGGTGGTGTCAGATGTAAGGTGGTCTTTTGGAATTGTTCCTGCTATTTCTGAAGTTGGCCCCAAATCCTCAGTCACTGAAATATCAAATGCACTGTAATCAGTGACTGTCTCTACGTAACATAATTTCACTATGGTGCAAAGCCTGAGTTCACCTATAGCTAACAAATTTTAACTATAATGTTATCTATTCTTTAGTAATTTCAGAGTATAATAAAATTACCTCCTCTACTAGCGGTATGAAAAATTACAATTTTGAAATGGGACTCCAGCCTGGGAGAGACTGAGGGCGGTTTTATATTAGCTTCCTGCCACAAAGCATTTCTCTCACACTGTAAAGGGTAATGATTTTACATGTACCAAGAGGATAACTGCCAAATCACGCCACAAATCCAACCTGAAAGATGAAATCAGCCCAAAGCCTGGTGGAGGCCCAGCACATGCCTATCCTTCATAACATTCTTAGGGGATCAGGGAAACGCTTCAGAACTGAATTCTGTGCATTTCCCCAACAAATTCTATTAAAATAGGTTGGATCCATTTCCTATAACGTATCAGTACATTTACCCTAGAGGTAAACATAATATATAAAATGTTAACATTAAGTAGATGAGGTTCATAAAAACTGCCATCACAAACCTTGAATATGGAACAAATTCCACTGGGGGAAGATGGGAGTTATGAAGAAATCCATGAATAAGTGAATTGTTTTTAGTTTTGTGTTTGTTTTATTTTTGAACTAGGGTAAGGAGAGATTACTTCAAAAAGCACATTCCACCCTAAGAATCTGTTCAAGTCAGTGCTTAACTTTAAAACAAACACAGGAAAGCACACACACACCAGGAAGTCCCACGAAGCCAGCCTTCAGAGAGACTGTTCCACAAAAAGCCGGTGTGCCTGCGCCCTCACGGCCTAAGTCTAATCTGAAACGTGGACGTTCTCACATGAATTAACTATGATATCAGAAAGAAGTAAAAGTATGCATAAGAAATACGAAAGCGTCACTTGACAACGTCTGTTCTTTAGTTATTTTATCCTATTTTGTATTATTTACTTTTAAATATAATTCCAATCTCACAACTCTTTAGTACCCCACATATTTTAGTCCTCCACTTTATCGTACACATTCTTACTTTAAGTTATTTAAATCCATTACGGAATGAAGTGAGAAGGAAAGAAATGACTAGGTAAAGAACTTGACTATGAGAAAATAAAAGCCACTGGACACTATCCAACAGTAACTGATGCAACCAATTTTGAAATTTAAGTATAATTTAGCCTAAACACCAGGCAACAACAACTGTTCCTAAAATAAGATTTGACTAGTAGCCCTGTACACGAATCCATGTGCCAGTAGCTCACTGCCCCCCTCCAGTAGCTCTCCCCGCCCCCTGTACCCTCCTCCCCCCACATGGCTTGCTGCCCTGCTTCCTCCTGTAGCTCCCCGCTGCCCGCTTGTAGCTCACTGCCCCACCCTCCTGCTGATACGTGATCCGGTCGTTATGCAGTCAGTTGATACAAGGTCAGTCGTTATGCTTCACAGCGCAATAAGCATTTGCATATTACATCTTTATTAAATAGGATGATAAGAGTACTACACTGCAGCAACCTATAAATCTACTCCCAGTAAGGAAACCTTGCAACAACCACAACGCTCAAGGTCTAGTAAAGAAAACCACCAGAGGGAAATAATAAAATTCATCCACTGAGCACAACAGAAAAATACCAGTCTGTAACTCCAGAAGCTTAAAATCTAATGGAGAAAATAAGGCAAATATAAAAATAAAAAGGTGATAAGGAATGTTACCCTATATTGAACACAGCATAAATTACTAGTGATCTTACACTAATTGTTCACCTTAGCTCATCTCATTATTGTGTGCCATATTCAGGGATGTGATGTGCCTTGGAGAGGCAAACAATTAAAACCATCGCAGAATAAAAACTCTGACTGATGAGAAACGTATCTTAGTCCTCAACAAACTGGCATAAACAGACGTCTGCCTCCAGACATCACGAGGCAGTGAGAGAACATCTTACTCACCTGTGTACATAGTGCAGCTGATGAACTGAGTCGATTGCTATCACCATCTCAGCCAAGTAAAATCGAGCCATGTCTTCAGGCAATCTATCTTCAAATTTGCTGAGCAGAGTAAGCAAGTCTCCACCAACATAATAATCCATAACTAGATACTGGAAAGAAACAATAAAATGTTCTCAATAAATGTTTAAAAGGGTAAAAAAGAGTATATTTAATGTAACCCAAGATCAAACATCACTAAGTAAAAGACTTTTGTTGTCAACTAACAAAAAGCTACATAAGATTATCATCATCAGTCATTACAAAACCTGTCAATGTCATAAAGCAGAAAAATACATTTTTAAAAACTGGGGCAGGGAACAACATAGGATTACTGTTGTTTTCCACATAAGTGCTGCTTTGCTCTGTAATTTAGGTTAAAAATATTTTAAAAACATATGAACTCTACAGAAAAAGCTATTTTCTAAAGTGATTTGGTATTTCACAATAATGGCTGAGGATGGGTTTTTTGGTTCAAAAATATTTCAGCCTTGGTCCTTTGTTCAAAATATTGCAATAATATGTTACCACTATAAAACCACTGAACAGCTGTACTGTATAGCAGGTCAGGACATTCAGCTTTGATTTCTGACAAAAATTTGTGAAAATGATAACACTTATGTCCAAGAGACTTAATGAAGTTCAGCGTTGATACTACTGGTTCAATAACAAATAACAGGTTAAAATATTTGCTACAAACCACTTGCTGATTAACAATGATTTGTGTATATGTCCAACTAAGCCTCTTTCTGCTTCACACACATGTCATCACTCTCCATTGTAACACATCTTAGCAGATTCCAAGTCAGTTTGTGCCGGGTGAGTGTTTTCTAAACGTCTTTGAAAATGCTATTGACTATAATGGGACCACAAACTATTCATATAGGCTAATTTCTCAGTTACTTCTAATTCAGCATTGACTCTTCAAATAATAAGAACTGAGCAGAATCAGTAACATCTTTCAACTCCAAGAGCCAAAGAAAACCACTCAAAATCCTTTCCCTGGTTTTATAATCAGCCATTGATGTTGTTCCCAATTTCCTCAATTCTTGAGCAACTGTTCTCACCAAAGGCTAAGAGTCGTAGACAAGTTAATTTTCTGTGGACACATTTCTTTGGCTGTTGCTGTCAGACATGATTTAATTATCTCAGCATTGGTGGATGCCTTTCCTGTTTGGCTAACAAATGAGCCACTCAAGGAACTTCCTACAGTTGCAGCCTCATTTCATTTTTTATTTTTGGAAAGTAATTCTGCTGTGATAAGATGTTCTGTTTTAAATTTTCTAACTTTACTGACTGCTGTTCTCCTGTGTTAGGAATGATGGAATGAGTGCTCAGTGTGCAAACATTTTTATTTACTTCTATTAGTATATTGTAGTGTAGTTGCATAATGAACAACATGTTGTCATTTAACTTGTTAACAAAATGATCCACACTCTACTGTGCTTTAAATGAATGGTATTTGAAGTCTATCATTTTCCTCTCCTTAATTTTCCATAACCCATATGCACTAGTAACAAAAACAGTGACACATATATATAGCACTTCCAAAGCTATCAAGTTATTACTGTCACTGCAATTTGTAATCTGCTGAGCAGCAGTGCAAAGCAATGGCAGTAACACACACAGTATGTTTCCCTGTCACGGCGTCAGTCTTTGTCACACTACTCAACTTGGCCATTGTAATTCAAAAGCAGCCATAGATGATACATAAGTCAACAGCATGGCTGCTTTCCAACAAAACTTCATGGCCACTGAAATTCAAATTTTATATAATATTCACAAACCATAAATTACTCCTCTTTTGATTTTTTTCAACTATTTAAAAATATAAAAACAATTCTTAGCTTGCAGGCTTTACAAAAATGGATGGTGGGCCAGATTTGAGCTCAGGCCAGTTTGCCGAAATCTGATTTATAAGAACTCCCAATGTGTAGTGCCATTCGCCCTCAGAAGGACCAGACTCACTAAATGAATCACAGGACAATTCAAAGAACACGTTCTCATCCCCCTGCTTCTCCAACTCAATGCATCAAGTGCCAACCACTGAATCCCACAAACCAGACCTGGCAAACCGGAGTCATTCTGACTCCTCTCCTCCACTGACTTCCACTCCAACACACGGATGAGAGAGGAAACATCGAAAGCTGTCTCCTGTGCACACCCAGGCTGGGGATGGAAACCACAACCTGAGTATGTGCCCTGACTGGAACCGAACCCACAACCTTTTGGTGTATGTGATGGTGCCCAGCCAATGGAGCCGCCTGGCCAGAGCTCTTTCTCTAGTCTTGCTCCTGAAAATCCATCTCCCACACTGCTACCAGGATGGTCTGTGTAAAATATAAAACTGTATCACACTCCCCTTAAAGCCCAATTTGAAATGAGAATAAAATCTGAATTCCTCAACATGACCCACACGCTGGAAGCCTCCTTTCATATCTTTCCCCTTCGCTGCTGTCCTCTGATCACACTAGCCTTCCTCTCATCTTCCAAACCCTCTCAGACACCAACTGCACAGAAACAGATATCAGACTCACGGCTAGCAGAGGTGGGAAGCCGGAGAGAGGGGACCGCAGGAAGGTACAAACTCGTTATGAGATAAATAACTCCTAGGATATAATGCTAACTCTGCTCTAGGATACATAAGGAAGTTGTTAGGAGAGAAAGTCCTGAGAACTGTCAACACAGGAGAATGTTCCCCCTTTTTCTCTTCTGTTTATTGTATCTACATGAGAAGACAGGCACTAGCTGAACCTAAGGTGGTAACCAGTTCAAACCAGCATGTGGTGGGCCGTAGACTGAGTCGGTGATATATGTCAATTATGTCCCAATAAAACTGAAAAATGATTCTTACCAGGTTGTTGTCATCCTGGAAGGCATAATGCAAAGTTGTAATCCATTTATTGTCTCCGTTCACTAACACGTCCCTTTCTTCACGGAAACATGCCGTCTGGAAAGGAGAAAAGGTATTTAGATAGAGAACACGTTATGTAAATCTAGGAAATAGATTACGCAAACATCGTTCAACGTATTTATTATACTTGCTATTTTGGGAAAAGAGTACATCCAGTATTACATGACTTTCAACAAGTCAACCAGAAAAAGGCACCTGGAGGAGTACACTCCAAATACTGGTAAGAGTTCAAAGAATCAGGAAGCACACAGAATCATTTAACACTCACGGTCCAACCTACCATCTAGATAACATACAAAACATTTTGCAACATTTACTTCTGGCCTTTTTATTTTTAAGGAAATAAGACACAAGTTGTAGCCTTCTTACTTCTATCGGATTCTCCCTGTTTCCTCCCCTGACATAAGAAATAATCTGAAGCTAGTATATACTACTAGCATTCCCGTCATATGCTTTGACACATGTCTGTGACTAAAAATAATAGAAGTGTTTTGTATTTTGAAAATTTCCATGAATGGAAATTATCTACTCTTTTGCAACTTGATCACTTTTTATTCAATCATGACTAATTTTTTTAATTGCTATGATATTCCTGTTTGAATATTCCAAAATTTATGCAACCCTTCTCATCATGAAAACATAGGTTATTTCCTATTTTATATTATTACAATGTTGCAATGAATATATTTGTACAAGTGTACAAGTTTATCTCGATTATACATTTAAAAATAGAAGCATTTTCAACTATAACCAATTTTCTTTTCTAAGTGGTGTACTAATTACTACCCTCACCCCACTATATGAAATCTATCCTTTTCCCCACATCCCCAACTGTACTTGGCATTATTAGACTTTTAAGTGTATGTCAATATAATAGGTGTGAAATAATATCTCACTGTTCTTTTAATGAATTTATTTCCACTTATAAGTATAGATAAATAACTTTACATATGCTTACTGAACACCTGAGCTTTCTCTGAACTGTTCACTTCCTTTGCCCATTTTCTCTAATGAACTGTCTTTTTCTTATTGATTTATAAAAGTTTTATTTTTTCTGAGAATATCTCCATATTATAAAGGTAAAGTAGAAACTGAAAATCTCCATGTGTCAAGCCCCCTTATTTTCAATATTCACTTGTGTCCAGAGGTTACATTTCTGTTGAATATCTTCTCAGAAAACTTCTGAGTATACATAAGCTTACACACATACCATACACAATTCATGTGGAATCCCATATCCCCTATCTTTTCTTTACAAATGAGATCACAGTACTCTGTAAGCTGTTTTGTTAAGTAACAATATATTTAAATACCTTTCATTAGAGACCTAATATTTCTTAATGGTTGTACCATATTCCATACACATTGAAAAATCATCATATAGTACTCTACATATAGGTGCTTCATAATTTATTTAGCACAAGGTAAATTCAACAGCAATGACATACAAAACAATTAACATTACCTATTTTACCCTAATTAGGCACCCTGACTTTTAATATTTATATAAATTTTATTTGATGAAGTAGAATTTCCAAAGGCATGTATTAATTAGTATCACCAGAGAAAATATTAAAAGCAATCTGTATATATAAAAGCCTAATAAGCAATGTCCCCCTTGGGAGTTTGGCCAGGAGTTCAATTGCTCGCTATGATGTAGACTGACCACTAGAGGGAGGCGTGGAATGAAAGCAGCCGGGGAGGGAGATTCCAACTGGCAGCTGGAAGGGAGGCCCTGATCGGCCCTGATCGACAACCAGGCCTAGGGACCCTACCTGTGCACAAATTTCGTGCACCAGGCCTCCAGTTAAAGATTGAACCCAATACATGGGAGTTTTACCCTTTAATTGAATTATTAAAATCTACATTATACTTTGGTTCATTTTAGGGAGAAAATGGAATCACTTGGCATGCTCACCACTAAGTTCTGTTTCAGAATTTAACTGCGGTGAAGTTGTGGTTTGCTGCTAACCTTTTAGAGATGGTAAAGGTTGCCAGGGGCTAAGAGACACATTTCTCCTGACTTCACTTTATTATGACTGCTATCTGGAATTTTGAGACATTCCAGCTAGAATCTAATAAACATTTGATTGATGACTCCAAACTAAATAAAGCTCCAAAGACTTTACAAAAAAATTAAACTTCAGTAGATTCTAATCTATTCTAAACCGTTTCAAGAAAAAAAAAATAGCTGAAACCAGTTTGGCTTAGTGGATAGAGCGTCAGTCTGCAGACTGAAAGGTCCCAGGTTCGATTCTGGTCAAGGGCATGTACATTGGTTGCGGGCACATCCCCGGTAGGGGGTATGCAGGAGGCAGCTGGTGGATGTTTCTTTCTCATCGATGTTTCTAGCTCTCTATCCTTCTCTCCCTCTCTGTAAAAAAAATCAATAAAATATATCTTTAAAAACAAACAAACAACACAATTATTTTATTCCTCAATCTTGTTTCATCTTACTACTAACTTCCCTCCATGCACATATATGCACACCCATGTGTACAAATTTTTAAGCAAATCCCAGACATCAGTTGACTTTATCCATAAACATTCAGGATGAAACTAATCCTATTAGTGTCTCAGACACTGAGTTTAGATGTGAAATGCAGTCTCTTTTTGCTTTGATAGGTCACACTGTCCTTCGTTGTCACACTGGGGCGAAGGGTGTTAATGCTTCTGGCATCCAGTGGGATGGGGCCAGGATGCTGCCACACATCGTACAACGCACAGACAATCCCTCAAGGAATTATCTGGCACCAAATATCACAAGTGCCCTTGTTGAGAAACCCTGTCCTTGGTCAATATTAACCAAACCATGATGCATGCCATGAGTTCATAAAGTGTCCCAAGGATTCAACATGGTTAAAGGCTGTAAAAATATCTACTTCAATTACCCTTAAAAACAAAACAAAACAGCCGAAACCGGTTTGGCTCAGTGGATAGAGCGTCGGCCTGCAGACTGAAAGGCCGGGGTTCGATTCCGGTCAAGAGCACATACCTTGGTTGCGGGCACATCCCCATTATGGGGTGTGCAAGAGGCAGCTGGTCGATGTTTCTCTCTCATCGACGTTTCTAACTCTCTATCCCTCTCAATTCCTCTCTGTGTAAAATCAATAATTAATATATAAACTGGATTAAAAATATATATCCCCCTTTAAAAACAGAACATTTTAGTCTCTAAGAATGCCATGAGCAGTAGAAGGGGTTACTGGAGATCACATGACTTCTTCAGATCCTATCACTCAGTTTCTATTTAACCAAACATTCTGCTGGGGACACTGATGGGTTTGACAGATTTGCAGTTTTATATTTTTAATATTCAGTTATATATTGTCCAAATTTTATCCTTAATGGGCTATTGGTTAAAGAGAAAGAGCAATAGGAATACCTATGATAAAACAGAAGTTAATGTGGACAAGATAAAAAGAATAATAATTTGGCAAAATTGTCACATGATTCTCTTCCTCACATCCATAGGTACACATTCATAGAGCAACATTCTTCTACATTCCTATATAGTACATCCAATTACCTGAATACTTGGAAATCATGTGTTAAAACAAGAAAATCCACTTGTGATTATATGTACTTTGGCTTCTCATTTATTAATAATAAAGACTTGTATCTCCTATACAATATTAACACTGAGAAATTCTTTCAAATAATAATTGAATTATTCTAATATTCAAGAGGAGAAAAGCCAAAATTTTCATTTTCTTAAAGAAGATACACAAGGGGAATTTTAAATTGCAAAATGCAAGAATTCCAGTATCAGGTCCTTTTTAAATGTTTTTGATTTTTTAGAGAGTGAGGAAAGGAGAGAGCTAGAGAGACAGAAACATCAAGGGAGAGAAACATTGATTGACTGTCTCCTATACAACTTCCCCTTCTCCCAATGAGGATTGAGCTGGCAACCCAGGCATGTGCCCTGACTATGAATTAAATTGGTGACCTCCTGGTTCTTGGGTCGGCGCTCATCCACTGAGCCACACCAGCCAGGCATCCGATATCAGGTCTTTTACACCAAGACAGCAATTTACTTTTAAATCTCCAATATATATTTGATGGTTGAACCAAACATGAGATGTCACTTTTTAAGTTATTTGTCAGAAAAAAAAAATGTTTTTTCAAGAAAGACAAATTGCCCTAACCGGTTTGGCTTAGTGGATAGGGCGTTAGCCTGTGGGCTGAAGGATCCCAGGTTCGATTTTGGTCAAGGGCATGTACCTTGATTGCAGGCACATCCTCAGTAGGAGGTGTGCAGGAGGCAGCTGATTGATGTTTCTAACTCTCAATTCCTCTCCCTTCCTCTATGTAAAATATCAATAAAATATATTAAAAAAAAAGAAAGAAAGAAATCATTTGATAACATCTAAAATTGGCAAATGAGAGAGACAACAGACACGTTTTCATGCTGAGTGCAAAGATATGCTGATTCTACCGTGTTTCCCCGAAAATAAGACATCCTCCGAAAATAAGACCTAGCGCATGGAAAGATAAGACATCCCCTGAAAGTAAGACCTAGCGCAACTTTGGGAGAAAAAATTAATATAAGACACTGTCTTATTTTCAGGGAAACAGGGTATGTTTCTAGAAGACAATTTAGCAATAGCTACTAGAGATTATGTGTACCTGACCCCAAACCCGAGAGGCTTCACTACTGAGGAGTTTGATCCAGGGAATGGATAAATTCCAGGGTGGGTTAGCACAACATGAAAATCCTTTAGTGTAAAAATTATTTTTAAATCGCTTCAACCTCAGTCTACACAAACTGGAGTGCCCCAGGACAGTCCACAGCAATCTCTCTGATGGACATCCTTCCCTTGACTTTCATTTCACATTGCGTATGCTCTGAGAGGGCACGGTGCACTCCAGACATCACAGTGAGGGCTGCTCCACAGGACCCCATGGTCCCCAGCTGGTCCACCTTCTTCTCTCTGCCTCTCAGAGCCTTTCATGTTCGTTTTATAATTAATGCGCAGCGTCTTTAGCTACTTAATGGAAAGGACAGGGAGAAGAATTTCCATTCCATCTTGTCTCAGACACAGGATATATTAGTGCTTTACAATTCAATAACATTTAATTTTCAACTATCCCTTGTTTTATCTACAACGTTGCCACTTCTTCCAGTCAGCAATGGAAGCTAACAGTTACCCTCCCTTTTCACAGTTCTTCCCCAGCACATCCAACTTCATCAAAATAAGCACAGCCTGGCCGGCGGGGCTCAGCTGGCTGGAGTGCCGTCCTGTACACGGAAAGGTTCAGGTTCAATCCCCAGCTGGAGTGTATAGAGGCAGCTGGTAGACATTTCTCTCACATCAACTTCTCTCTCTCTCCCCTTCCCTCCCTCTCTCCTCCTTTCTCTCTAAAAAATCATTAAGCATATTAAGCATATCTTCGGATAAGGATTAAAAAATAAAGTACAAACTATAACTCAATTTTTTAGAAGTTCTAACTCTGAAACACTAAGTTATTGCAATGATGATTTCTGTGAAATGATTTCAACATAATTATTTACTACTAGAGGCCTGGTGCATGAAATTCGTGCGGGGGGTTGGGGGGGGTTGAGGGAGGCAGTGTCCCTTAGCCCAGCCTGCACCCTCTCTAATCCGAGTCCCCCTCAAGGATGTTCCACTGCCCGTTTACAGAGATCGGGCCATGGGGGTGTGGCCAGCCTGGGTGAGGGGCTGATGGCTGTTTGCAGGCTGGTCACAGCCCCTTCAGGGTGGGGGTCCCTGCTGGGGTGCCTGGCCAGCCTGGGTAAGGGGTGAGGGCTGTCCGACTACCCTCGAGGGGTCCCAGATTGGAGAGAATGCAGGCTGGGCTGAGGTACGTGTGTACACTCACACGCATGTAAGTTTCTTAATAATAAGACTTGTTGCTCCACTTGCTGGCCATGCTTCAGCTCCTGCAGGGTTTGCCTCACCTGCACTGTATTTCACTCGTGCAGTTTTTTTAAGTAGATGCACAGGACAAAAAACTGAAAGCAGAAACTTGCCAAAAAACTTATTGATAATTCTAGGTGATGGGATGCTAGTGATTATTTTCTTTGTGTTTGTCATGTTTTTCAAATTTTCCATAAGAAATAATGAAGTATTTTCTTTCACTACCACCATGTCTAACATCATCGGAATGTTTTTTGCTTTTTCCTAAGTCTGTTCTTTTTCAGATTGCTTCATGCACTCGTAGATAAAGAAAAACTTCTAAGGCAAATTTCTCATTATCCTTTTATAAGCTGTACTTTGCATGCTCAGTGTGTGACCCTTCCACAAGTTAAATACTGAGACACTCCCATACCAGTAAGCTCTGCCCCTACCCCATCCAGAACCTGACTCCAAAATCATGTGTGATGTCAGCTCTGACCATTCATGCCAACTACTAGACAGTTTAACATCGCTCTCATCAGTCTTTCCCTGCAATCCTGCACCAACGTAAGAACAGTAAAATTCTTGCAAGAGCAGATTTTAAAGAAAATGAATTCAACTGCATAACCAGCAATAAACAGAATTCTTAGAGGGCGTGTTCAAAGCTTCTGCTGACTTTTCTTGGCGCAGAAGACAGATAATACAGAATGTAGAAACAAGGTCTGACAAGCTTCAAATCCATCATTACTGAATTTCCTATAAGAGAAACTCCACATCATTTCTTCCTACACATTCTTTTACACGTTTCCTTGGAACATAAATGTGTAAGCACCACATCAAGGGTTTCCACTGGTTTTTAGACAATATTAAATTAGCACAAATGATAACTTTTATCATAACTGTATCACAATTGTGAACTATTGAACAGATAAAATGTTGTGATACTTAAGGATCTCTATAATTTTATATCTCCTCTTAAATATTACTAAGATTTTATTTAAATATTCCAATAATTAGAACCTTACCTCTGCTCTTTTCAGCATTTCCCATTTATTCAGTATTTTCATGGCAAATACCTTATCTGCATGTTTTAGTTTCACTACAGCAACCTAGAAAAGAAAATACAACTTTTAAAATACAACAAGTAATACATTTTTAGTCATCCATTTTCCTTTTTCCTCTCTGTAAAAAAAAAAAAACAAAAACCAAAATTATCAATGATTTCCATGCAGTTCAAATTTTAAGATCCTAAATCAAATAACATTGTCAGTTGAAAAAGTTACATTAATGAAAAGTGCCAAACAAATAACTGTATTGTGAACACTGAGTCAGTTGGTGATTTTACATTACATCCTCCTTTTTGAGTTTTCTGTCCTGGAATTTAAATTTAACTGTACTATCACTAAGAAATTGACCAAAATATACAAGATGAAATACTAAAGCTTATTAAATATTATATGCCAAATTCCAACACAATTCTCAAATGCCTACTGTCAAAACAAATCTATTTTGTGGGGAATCAAGCAACATGAAATAAATTGCAAATGGCATTAATTTTCACACGACATATTTTTATACCCTACTAGAGGCCCAGTGCAAAAATTTCATGCAAGGGGTGAGGGGAAGGAAAGGGCACAGCCTGGCCTGTACCCTCTCCAATTCGGGACACCTTGGGGGATGTCCAACTATGTGATCGGGCCTAAATCAGCAGTTGGACATCCTTCTCACAATCTGGGACCACTGGCTCCTAACCACTCATCTGCCTGCTGGCCTGATACTCCTAACTGCTCTCCCCTGCCACCCTGATTCCTAACTGCTCTCCCCTGCTGACCTGATCCCCCTAACTACTCTCCCCTGCCAGCCTCATCCCCCTAACTGCTCTCCCCTGCCAGCCTCATTCCCCTAACTGCTCTTCCCTGTTGGCCTAACTGCCCCAACCTCCTCTGCCTTGGCCCCGCCACCATGGCTTTGTCCAGAAGGACATATGAAAGACATCAGGTCTAATTAGCATATTACCCTTTTATTAGTATAGATATCACAACCCCCAACTCTCTCTTTCCCTCTCTCTCTCTCTCCCTCCCCCCTCTCTCTCTCACACACACACACACCAAAGATCAATTAAGCCTAACATCTCTACAAACTATAGACTCTATACATTCCTTTTCAACAAACAACAGAACAGCTATTTAACTATTTTGTATTTTAGTGATGATTAAAAAAAAACAAAACTGTCACATTGGCGCTCTCTCCCGGGAGCATGCCCATGTCTCACCCTTTCCCTTCCCTCCTCCTCCCTGCCCAGGCACGTGACCATCAGCTTCCTCACTCCCAAGCAACAAGGGCCCTTCCTTCACTTCTGTCACTTGTTTCCGAAGCCCATTTCTTCTAGGAGTTACTTTTTCTACCTCTGTAATCTACTCCATAAATGTTCTCTTACAAAAAAAACACACAAAACAAAAACTGTCAAATACAAATAAATAAGTCCACATTTTCACCCGCAACAAACTGATTACATTTCTGTTGCTGCTCCTCTGCTTCATTTGACTAGACACTCCAGGGCCTTCCAGAGGAGCTAGCCTCATGGGCTGAGAATGAACTGCAGAGAGACAAAGGCTGCTTCCAGTGAGCGGGGCTGAGGAAGGGGAAGGCACATAGGACATGATATGCTGAAGGAGAGAACAAATGTTATAATATACCGCGTATCTTCAAAGGGTCATTTCCAAGGATAAAGAATGGGTTTAAACTCCAGGTGCCAAATTTGTAAAAATCTTAATAGCAAATGTACATTTCAGGGACATTTAATACATTTATATTTGTATCAGATGGCAAAAGTAATATGACCATATAATTAAAGTCAGTGTATATTATATGATATACACTAGAACATTTCTTGGTAATTGTCATAAATGGTTATAATACTGTGATGATAGCTTTTCATCAATTAAAATGATGGGAAGAAAGAGGAAATATCGCAATTTCAAATAAAATAACTTTAGATTTAGTCATATCTGGTCATAGCTACAGACATAAGGGTTTTAGATAAATTAGTCTCCTAGTGGGTTCATGCTTTTTTAAATGGGGCTGTACAAGACATAGAAGCAACCTAAATATCATCAATGGGTGACTGGGTAAAGAAAATGTAGTATACATATATACAATGAAAGATTATTCAGCTGTAAAAAAAGGCAGGAAATCTTGCTTTGGTGACAGCGTGGATGAACCGAAAGAATATTATGCTAATTGAAATAAACCAGACACAGAAAGACAAATACGGTAAGATCTCACTTACATGTGGCATCTAAAAAAGTTGAACTCATAGAAAGAGACAGACTATGGCTCCCAGGGACTGAGTGCTGGGCCAACGAGGAAATAAGTGTCGGCCTGTGGGGATCTGGCTGAAACCGGCCAGGGCACACAGGTGGGGTCCCTCGGCCTGGCCTGTGGGGATCGGGCTGGATCCGTGCACCGGGCCTCCAAAATCCCCGGAGGGGTCCCAGATTACGAGAGGGCGCAGTTAGAGGGATAAGGATGCCAGGCTGAGAGACTTCACCAGTGCACAAATCTGTGCACCGAGCCTCTAGTTGTTATTACATATTTGAAAGTTGCTAAGAGAGAAAATCTTAAATGCTCTCACCACATGTACACACACACACACACACACACACACACACACACACACACGATAATTACGTGAGGGGATGAAAGTGTTAACTTTGTTATGATCACCATTTCACAGTGTATACAAGTATCAAATCATCACTTTGTACACCTTAGTACTGCACAACATTACATGTCAATCACTTCTCAATAAAAATGGAAAAAATAAAGGGACTTGGAATAAAAAGCAAGGAAAATTTGAGAAACACTATTTCCCAAGGTCTCCGAGAGGCTGACAACACCAGTTTGGCTATTCTGGAGTCACATGTGGCACAGCAGGGAGTGCAAATGGTCAGAAGGACGGAGCCCTGAGCGAGACCAGCCCTCGCTCTGACCGGGAAGAGACCAGTGCCATCCCTCATGGTGATGAGGGGACCCTGACCTCGGCTGTGAGAAGAGCACGCCCAGAACTGTGCGACCCCCCATGCCTGTGAGCATGCCTGCACCTGATGGCAACTACTGCGAGAGGTGGAGCCTTCACCTGCGCGTGCATGTGTGTGAAGTGCCAGGATCTTCTAACGTTTCATGCGGGTCTGCAATCCCTTCCCGCTATCCTAACAGTCAAAGGTTCCCACAGTCCTGGGAACTGCCACTGGGCTACTACAGCATCGTGTTCTGCTTTTGTCTCACCTATTGGAGGAGAAGCACACTTCACGCAGAAACTGATGCTTCTGCTTACGGGGTGCTGTCCAGCCTCATAGGGGTGGTATATAAAACAGAGCATATGGACTCCATTATCTTTCTAAAGCCCAGAAGGTCCTGGAACCGCCCCCTCTGGATTACAGAGCTGTGCAGCCTTACTGAACACTCAGACACTGAGCGAGCACGGATCGTGGCTGTCGGGGAGTGGCGACCGCTCGGACTCTGCATTCAGACACTGGGGTCTGTGTCCTGGCTCTGTGATGAGCTATGTGACTCTGGGCAAATAACATTCCAGAACTTCAGTGTGCTCAACAACATAACAGAGTTGGTAACAGTATTACTGACATATTTGTGGTAAAGGGTGAAATAAGACAAGTGTGAAGTGCTCACACAGTAAGCGCTCAGTAAGTATTAGCTGTGACTATGGTCAGGCCTTGCACTAAGCACATTTTGCCCAGTCTCTTAACTGTCGCTTGCTCTATCACTAACAGGTGGCAGACATTTACATCCCCATTACTTCAACCTCTTAACTATGAAATAAGAAACTGTGATTTCAACTTCTAACTGTCCATGATTTTATAGCCATGACAGATCCATATACATAGAAAGATAGCTAGAAATATTCTCAATGGAAAATATATACAAATAAAATGTAAGCTACTATATTTGCCATCGTGTAGGTTTCAATAGTAAAAAAGGAAATAATTTAAATATCCTGAAAGATGAAATTTACTAAATATATCACAAAATTATATAAAAGTAATCATATTCTTGAAAATACTGTTAAAATATTATTCATAATGTCTGCTTAAAATGAGTTTAGTAAAGTTTGTACACTAGATTTTTTGTATATATACCAATAAAGTTCTATGCCACATGTATGTATAGATATTTCTAGGTGATAGGATTTCTATTCACATTTCTACATTTTCTGTAGGGAACATGCAAAATTTGAAACATGGAATGCAATAGTGTGGAATACCACACCTCATCTTGGCGTGAAATCAGCACTAATTGTACAGGTGCTGTAGTGTGGCCAATAAGGGCCAAATGAGACCCATTCTCTGCATCTATGAGGTAATCAGGAATGCCAGGCTGCTGTGAGGATGAAAACATTCTCAGTGCTATCTTGTACAGTTTCACGAGTTGCCTAAAAACTTTACTCCAAAGAGATGCAGTGTGATGAAATTAAAATGTCAGTTCAGGAAATATTCTTGAATTATCAAATTGATGACATGATCAGACAAGAATATGAAGCTCATAAAGTAACAAAATAAAAATTGATTTTGCTTTTCTCCTTTAAACCTACAGATCATTTTAACATTCATTTCAGTAGAAGAAAAATTAAAAAAGGATTTCCCTAGAACTGTAACTTCAGGTTCTAGATTTTAAGAACCATTGCTGAGATATGAGGGTAGTATGTAAAACTGTCCTTTCTTATTTATTTTGACTAAAATGAAAAGCACATTTAGTACTATGGACTGCAAGATTATAAATTTAACAAAAAACAAAGATATCTTTGTGAAACAAATATAAAGGTGTCTTTAAAAAATTCATATTAAAAGCACTATGATGTTAGAAAAATTGAAAAAAATCAGTATATGTAAAGGAATGAGTTCTTAAACAAAATGTAAGTATCATCACATAGCTATAATAAGTAATTTAGGGATTCTTACACTATATTACATAGAATTTTAACATCCAAGAAATAGTTGCCATGCAGTTCTGCAATTCTATGTTTAATGCACCCAGAATTCACCATCCCTCCTCTGTCCCTCCGACTCCAACCTACCATTACCTGTGGCCTGGA